GAGGAGATAAATGTATCGTTTATGAACTACTTCCTAACCGTATGATTCACCACTTCAGCACATTTTGTCAGACACTAGACAGCACTAGATCTAGTCAACACATATTAATTTACTTTCATAGTATTAGGCACATCTAATTCACAAAACAGGGCAGGTAAGATTATTTTTTATATAATTATTTAGAAATTTATTTAGAATTAATTGAACATTATTAATAGTCATTGAGGTGGGGGTGTGTGAGGGTCTGGCTTTTTGTTAATCCCCCCTCCCCTAAATCAGAAGGTTATTTTTTCTAGTTCCGCCACTGATACACATGACATGTTGTTGTGATTAGATTTAATTGATTTTTTTTTTCAAAACCCGATCAGGCCAGAAATGAGTATCCTATGTATCCTATGTTCGTATTGTGTATATATATATATATATATATATATATATATATATATATATATATATATATATACACATATATGGGGGGCCCAAAAATTTTTTTTGCGGGGTGGCCCATTTTTTCTAGTTCCGCCACTGCTGGAGCGTCTATTATATTGGCCTAGATGATAATTACAAGAAATATTAATCAAGTAAAAAAAAAGTAGATAATGAGTACGAAAGTTTATTATTTAAAGGAAAATGGTGTAGCCATGGTGCCTACAATTCAACAATAAATTATCTAAAATTGTTATCTGCCTGTTTTGAAAGTCAGTACAAGTAGGCCTATGATCCCACGGGCATACATATTAATTCCTCTATCAGAAGGTGACTGAAAATACGTGGATACCATGGGCAAAAACCGACCAAACAACAAAAATAATTTTAATTTAAAATTTAATTTAAAAAAAAAACAACAGATCTGCTACTGTAGCATAGACAAAACTACAAAAAGCTCATTTTAATAGATCTCTCCTAAGCAAACTGAAAAGCAATTTTTCCCTTTTAACAAAAAATTATTATTGTAATAAGGTATACTAAAGAATGGCACAGCTATAAAAAGGAATGTATTCAAAACTATTAATATCAATGCAAAAAATAAACATTAAAAACAACAAACACGGAAAACCATAACCCATATCAAATCTCCGTTTTTAAATACTTTTGACTGGCTTGCCAGATATGGAATTATAATTTTCACAATTTTCAGCGGGAATAAACGATATAGACGTTTTTTAAACACGATATTAGAGTATATGTGATTAGTAGTTTCACGATGGAACGATGTATTTACTTTGCAATGGAAAAGATCATATTAGAAAATGGGTTAAATTATGACAGTTTTCACCGTTTTACACCTCAGTCCTTTATCACATCCGGAGTAGGCCTATAGAGGAATTATTTTAATCGGGCAAAAGTTATAAAACCAGATATTTCAAAACTTTGGCGTTGTATGCGTACTAATTTGAGTACTATTTCAGATAGATATATGAAATTTCACATGTAATTAAAAGATCAAATTATCTGCCTTCTGTCGAATTTCATTGACCGGAAGTAGTAATTTACGCTATTTCCGATTTCTCAAAAAACGCATTTGAATTTACAAAGTACTTAAATTTTTCCGCACTATTATACACATTTTGTTTGGCTTTCATTTGGTGTGGAATTCTTTTTTCTACGAGATTCTATTTTATTCTATTTTGCAAATCTCGACGTTTTACATCTCCCTGAGTCGGAAAATCATAGTTTTGCAATCTTGTCCGTATATCTGTATGTGTGTGTGTATGTGTGTCTGTAAACATGATAACTTGAGTACCGTTAAAGCTAGGTTGATGAAGTTTCATATATAAGTATAATATAAAAATCGTAGATCAGTATCAACTTTTGAGAGATTTCCGATAACCGGAAGTTTAACTTTTTTCTACATTCAATATTGCAAAAGCCTTAAACTTGAGGATTATTTCAGATAATAAAAGAAATTTTACATGTAAGTAAAATATCTAATTATCTACCTTCTATCAAATTTTGAGTAATTTCCGTTGAACGGAAGTAGTAATTTACGCTATTTCCGATTTCTCAAAAAATGCATGTGAATTTATAAAGTACTAACAATATTCCGCAATATTTTGTTTGGGGTTCACTTGGTGTGCAATTCTTTTTTTTTCTTACGAGATTCTAAGAATATTCGAGAAAGTTTTTAAATTTTATTTGTCCATGAAATCAAACTACTTATCATGTACACACTTTGAATTGTTTTTTTTCCGAAAAGGTCCACCTAAAGTTAGAAACCAATCATCGGAAATTCCCGTTGTCCACGTGTCACGTGACAAGAACACAGTGTTTACACTTGAGATTTACGGATATCCTGAGCCGACAAAATTTGGTCTAAAAATAGAAACAGGGAATTCCGTCTCTGACGTAGAAAAGAAAACCTACGATATCTCGTACATCACCACCGTACCACCATTTGGTCTGGTCACCGTGACCTTCTATGATAAAACCACCAGGGTCATCACGACCTACATACTGAGTGTGACCAACACAGAAGGGGAGCTGCAGCTTAAGTTTGACGTCATCAATCAAGATGCAAATACCATAAAATCAGGTGAAAAAAAGCACTTTAAAATGATATAAAATGTTATATATAGAGTTATATAGGCCAACATCTTATGCACTTTTCCTAACAGGTGACGTAACATTCTGGATAAAATTGGGTGTTGGACTTGGATGTGGTGTACTTGCTATAGCTGTGGTCATAAGTCTGGCTATTTTCTGCGTGAGACGTCACAAACTTGACAAACAGATGAGTAGAGAAAGTAGTTTGTCACAACCAGCTGGTAAATACCGCACATTAATACCTCAACAAAATACGAAGACAATATTAAATAACAATTTTACATATTTTACTTACTCTTAGAACATATTATTTTAATTTAACTATTATTTAATGAGTTCGTTAATTAAAACAACTTTACGATTCACTAGATCTATATATTTTATTTTTTCTGCAACTTACAAGACAAGTGTCTAAAAAATCTAAACATCAATTTCGTCATAGATGCTATATTTAATGCTTAGAAATTAAACGAATCAGAGTTATTTTATGTATACCATCAATGTTAAAATATTGCCACTTACAAAGCGTAATGGAAATAATAAACTTTCATGCTAACTGTGAAGTTTAGTGGTACAGTTTTATAATAATATGTTTTTAATATTTGTAATTTAAATATAATTTATGTTTGAAAGTTTCCAGACAATTATTTTGTTCTTTGTCAACAGTTATGTTCAACGAAGAATCAGCGTCTAGCCAACGTTCGACAACTTCGACAGACAACAGGCTGTTTACAAACATTAGTTATCAGCCTTCATCTTACCAAGAACCAAATTTCAACGAAACTAGACATTCCTATATAGAACCTCCACCTGATTATTTTGATGATTAATTTTAGTCACATTAACCGAATTACCTTATCATTACTATTATGCTATGAGCTACATGCATACATGTCAACATGTATGCTATGAAAATATGTTATGTTGTGTGTAATTACAATAGATGTATTTGGGCTTATTATCATGTAAAAGAAAATGAACATATTATTTTCGTCATTATTTTACTATACATAAGTTATATTTCACTTATCTGCTGCGATGTATTATTTGGATCATGTCATTTATCCTTTGAGGACGCTATCTCAACTCATCACAATTTATTCCTTTGTTTTTCTTCAAAAAACTACTTTATAAGTCTCACTTCATGGTTTTTAAAACATCAATTACTTAATGATCCTTATATAAATGAGTGAATACTAAAAATAAAGTTTATCAATAATCAATTTGTGCCAATGTATTGTTCAAGTTTTATTTTCCACCAAAATAAAACTTCATTTTTAATTAAAACAAATGAGGCCATTATTAAACGTATCTTTCTAAATAAAACGCTGCTGTCGAGCGGTAAAGTCAGAGGCGTAGCGATGGGGGGCAGGGGGATACATATGTCCCCGGGCGCCAACCTTAGGGGACGCCAAAATGGGTTGTGAAAACAAATTAAAATGTCATTTTAGCTGTAATTTTGCATTATAAATAGTTTGGAGGGGGGGTGCAAATCGAAAGTTTGAGGGGGGTGTGCAAATTGAAAATTTGCTCCCGAAAGGGGCGCTAAATTGAAAGTTTGTCCCCTGGCGCCGGGAAGGGTCGCTACGCCTCTGGGTAAAGTTCAAGTAGTCCTACCCCAACCAGACGATTTCGATTTCGTTTGACAAAGTTAAGTCCAAGAGCTCTGATAGTTACTTTACCAATTTTTGTAAAATAGATTCAAAGATCATTCATCTCACAAAAATAAGACATCCCTACTTCATCTACACAATAGCAGCAAGTACTCAATTAGTTCCTGCTGGTAAATATTTTCTTTTACGTTTGTTTTAAATTTAGTTTGAAGTTGTTAGCGAGCTGATAAATAAACTAGTTTGTATGTTAAATACCTTTACATTTTCAAAATCAGATTTTGTTTAATCACTGTTTACTAAAACGAAAAATACATAATGTGTTTTCGAAATTAATGCATATTTTTTTTTTTGCATTTTTCGTTACTAATCTATGTAAGATAACAATTTAGGCATTTGTCGTATGGGAAAGCGTTGTAATTAAATTTTTAAATATTGTTAATACCATAAAAATCGTGCGTAAACCTAGAGACACAAATTACATTTTTGTTCCCAAAATAAAGTGTTATAATTTCAACTAGATACACCAATGTTAGCTTATGGTTTTTACACAGTCCCTAAATATAGGTTAGGTGTCGATCCATCAAGCAGACCCTGTTGTGTACACAGTCCCTAATCCGGGGTTATGTTCCGGACCAAATAAGGGACCTATCTTACTTTACGATCCCTAACATCCCCAAAAAGGGATCACTATATCGACACAATCTCTGGCCACAGGCCACAACACTGTATATTGCGTGTGCGTTCTAGTCACATGATGTGCAACAAATTCAATAAACACAATCTAAACTCGTGCCAAATACTTAATTAGCAATCTAACTACAAGAAGCCTCATTAACCGACTTACAGCCAAGAGAGTTAATTGGGCCGTCTGCTTCAGACGGTCAACATCTAAGCTCTCGTTGACGTATACCTGTACGTGTAGCTGTGAGCACAAGCGATCCACAACTTTGTTGCACTATCTACAAAGTTATCTCCCTTTACCGAAGATGTTGCTGCTCGTGTTTTATCTTCTCTATGTTGGGATAACCGTCGCCCAGGGCAGCTTGACACGTACGTTTTATCTAAACATTTTGTAAACTTTATCTATCTCAAAGTGCTGCTCAGACTTTGCCATTGTTTAGTGTTTTTCATAATTAAATAAAATATTCGGTTAAGTTATTTTCAAAACATGTATGAAAATGCTAAATGTCTATTTTTAAGCAATAATTAGAAATATTTTGTAACTTAAATCTGAAACACTAAATTCTCCCCCCCTCCCCCCCCCCCCACAGAAAGGTGCTTCTCTGAGCTCGGATGTTTCTCCATCCTCCCCCCGTTTGTCTCCCTCCCCTCACGGCCTGTCGCGTTGCTGCCTGAGGCGCCGGAGCAGATCGGGTAGGTCACGTGACTTGGTGTTTTGTGTTTTAACTCTACGCGATGGTCAGCACTAACATTCCCACTTGGGTTAAACTTTAATCCATACAACATATTCCTACTTGGGTTGTACTTTATTCAGCGCAACTATATTCCCACTCGGGTTAAACTTTATTCAGCAAAACATATTCCTACTTGGGTTAAACTTTATTCAGCAAAACATATTCCTACTTGGGTTAAACTTTATTCAGCACAACATATTCCTACTTGGGTTAAACTTTATTCAGCACAACATATTCCCACTCGGGTTAAACTTTATTCAGCAAAACATATTCCTACTTGGGTTAAACTTTATTCAGCACAACATATTCCCACGTGGGTTAAACTTTATTCAGCACAACATATTCTTACCTGGGTTAAACTTTATTCAGTACAACATATTCCCACCTGGGTTAAACTATATTCAGCACAACATATTCCCACTTGGGTTAAACTTTATTCAGCACTAACATTCCCACCTGGGTTAAACTTTATTCAGCACAACATATTCCTACTTGGGTTAAACTTTATTCAGCACTAACATTCCCACCTGGGTTAAACTTTATTCAGCACAACATATTCCTACTTGGGTTAAACTATACTCAACAAACGATGTTTCCCATCCCTCAAGGACCGTGTTCAAGCTGTACTCACGTGACCAGTCTGCCGCCCCACGTGATCTGGAAGCGACACAAGTGACCAGCAGTCTGAAGACCAAGTGGTCAGGCTACGTGTCCAGGCCAACGAAATTTATCGTCCACGGTTTTCTAACCAACGTCCGTGTGACAAACTGGCCGGAGGTAATAACAGCATGTTTGTGTAGAATTGGTCTCGTTTAGTACGATACTCACTAATTATACCAGTCATTGATTACATCATTCACTGATTACACTAGCTAATTAAAGCACTAGAAGATGATATCACCCACCAATTACATCACTTGTTTATTACATCACTCTCTGATTACACCACTCACTAATTACATCACTCACTGATTATATCACTCACTGATTATATCACTCGTTGATTACATCACTCACTAATTGCATCATCCACTGATGACATCACTCACAAATTACATCACTCACTAATTACAGTCTCTCTATTATTAAAACACTCACTAATTACATCACCGACTAATTAAATCCCTCACTCATTACATCACTCACTCATTACATCACACATTCATTACATGACTCACGGATTACAACCTACACTGATAATAGAAAATACCCAAAGCCTTCAAACAGCCACAAGTAAAACATGAAACCTCAACACACCCACTCATATTCCGAACATTACGCTCAGACCTGTCGTTTAACGTCCACTAGATCTTAAATAAATCGTTCAGCATAAACCTAATACTACAATTTATTAACAATAGGTTTACACGATTTAATATATATCTAAAAAAACTAATGTAATAACAGATTTAATAAACTTTTGAACACAACTTTTTTAGATATTAATTACTGTAATAATTAACGCCCTTAGCAGGTTACTTTAATGATTAGAATGACGTCATTGTTGCAGGAGATGAAGGACGAGCTCTTAAAACAGGGAGACTACAACGTCATCATAGTGGACTGGTCAGGGGGTAACAAACCGCCCTACACCCAGGCCACGGCCAATACGAGGGTCGTGGGGGCACAGATAGCCCTGCTAATTAATGCAATTATCGTAAGTAGAGACAACAGGGTTTAATACTAGAACTTGGACCAGTAAAAGTCATGATAGTTTATGTAAAGAGGTCATATTATCGTGATCAGTTATATTCAAAGAAGAACATATTAACTAATTAATTACTAGTTAACGCAATCATCATTAGTATTATCAATAATGCTAATGACTAGACCTTGGTATTAAAGCAGAATCATGTTAACTAATTTCATGACTTTACATCGTCGTGATCAGATCCATTAAAATCATAAAGGTTATTACATCTTTATTTATTTAGTCGTTTAATTTAAAACGTGAATCTGTATATTTTAAAGTATCTTTTTACATAATTGTAATTGATTAATGAAAGCCGATGTATACAAGATTATAATTAAGCCATTTCAGTTGAAATATTGTGGATTAAACATAAGAAAGTAATATATTACTAGTGTAGTGTACACAAGATTATACACAGTCTTAGTAATGACACCATAGTTACTTTATCGATGTAAAATCAATTTTCACTACCACCCCCTGCTAAGTACAAGTAATTAGCTAGCAGGCAAGTTAACTACACAATTAATTAAAATCAGTTTTAAAAAAATCATTATAACGTAATTAAATTATCGATCTGTAGCCTAGATATCCCAGCGCTTTCAAGCTACTTTGTTTGTTCAGCTCTTACGTTCTATGAATCCATGTCTAATGAACCGGTGTTAATTTGACAGGCCACCTACGACATACCGACCAGCCAGTTTCACATCATCGGCCACAGTCTTGGTTCTCACATCGCTGGGTACGCTGGTGAGAGGGTGCCAGGCTTGGGTAGGATTACAGGTAGGTTGGTGGGAGGGGAGGATTACAGGTAGGTTGGTGGGAGGGGAGGGTTACAGGTAGGTTGGTGGGAGGGGAGGATTACAGGTAGGTTGGTGGGAGGGGAGGATTACAGGTAGGTTGGTGGGAGGTGAGGATTACAGGTAGGTTGGTGGGAGGGGAGGATTACAGGTAGGTAGGAGGGAGGTGAGGATTACATGTAGGTAGGAGGGAGGTGAGGATTACAGGTAGGTTGGTGGGAGGGGAGGATTGCATGTAGGTTGCTGGGAAGATTACAGGTAGGTTGGCGGGAGGATTACAGGTAGGTTGGTGGGAGGGGAGGATTACAGGTAGGTTGGTGGGAGGGGAGGATTACAGGTAGGTTGGTGGGAGGTGAGGATTACAGGTAGGTTGGTTGGAGGGGAGGATTATAGGTAGGTAGGAGGGAGGTGAGGATTACAGGTAGGTTCGTGGGAGGTGAGGATTACAGGTAGGTTGGTGGGAGGGGAGGATTGCATGTAGGTTGCTGGGAAGATTAGGTTAGCTGGAGGATTACAGGTAGGTTGGTGGGAGGGGAGGATTACAGGTAGGTTGGTGGGAGGGGAGGGTTACAGGTAGGTTGGTGGGAGGTGAGGATTGCATGTAGGTTGCTGGGAAGATTACAGGTAGGTTGGTGGGAGGGGAGGATTACAGGTAGGTAGGAGGGAGGTGAGGATTACAGGTAGGTTGGTGGGAGGGGAGGATTGCATGTAGGTTGCTGGGAAGATTACAGGTAGGTTGGCGGGAGGATTACAGGTAGGTTGGTGGGAGGGGAGGATTACAGGTAGGTTTTTTAGGAGGGGAGGGTTACAGGTAGTTTGGTGGGAGGTGAGGATTACAGGTAGGTTGGTGGGAGGTGAGGATTACAGGTAGGTTGGTGGGAGGGGAGGATTGCATGTAGGTTGCTGGGAAGATTACAGGTAGGTTGGCGGGAGGATTACAGGTAGGTTGGTGGGAGGGGAGAGTTATAGGTAGGCTGGTGGGAGGGGAGGATTACAGGTAGATTGGTGGGAGGATTACAGGTAGGTTGGTGGGAGGGGAGGATTACAGGTAGGTTGGTGGGAGGATTACAGGTAGGTTGGTGGGAGGGGAGGATTACAGGTAGGTTGGTGGGAGGGGAGGGTTACATGTAGGTTGGTGGGAGTTAGGATTACAGGTAGGATAGTGAGAGGGTAGTATTACAAGTAGGTTGGTCATCATGTCATGTTTGCCTGTCGTCCCTACTGGGACATAGGCCGCTGACAAGAGCTTTCCAGACGTCTCTGTCCAGGGCTAGTCTCTCCAACTGTCCCCAGGTGTATCCAATCTTCTTGGTGTCTTCTTCCAGGTCACGTCTCCAGGTCTTTCTTGGTCTGCCTCTCTTCCTCCTGCCTTGTGGATTCCAGGTGAGGGCCTGTCTTGTTATGCTGGATACAGGCTTCCTGGGTGTGTGGCCAATCCATTTCCATTTTCTCTGGAGGATCTCTACTTCCACTGGCAGTTGATTTGTCCGTTGCCATAGAACATCATTTCTGATGCTTTTAGGCCAGCGAATTCGCAGGATCTTTCTGAGACATGCGTTTATAAATGATTGTATTTTCTTCTTATTTATAGCAGTTATTCTCCATGTCTCGGCTCCATAGAGTAAAACAGGTTTTACTAGTGTGTTGAAGATCCGGATTTTTATTCTAAGGGTTAAATCTCCCGAACCCCAAACATTTTTTAGTTGGTTGAAGACTGCTCTTGCCTTACCCGTTCTTATTTTTATGTCTGCTTCTGTCCCACCCTGCTTATCAACAATACTTCCAAGGTAGGTGAATCTATCCACTTCTTGGTTGGTGGGAGGGTAGTTTTACAGGTAAGTTGGTGGGAGAATTACAGGTAGGTTGGTGGGAGGGGAGGGTTACAGATAGGTTGGTGGGAGGGTTACAGGTAGGTTGGTGGGAGGGTTACAGGTAGGTTGGTGGGAGGGGAGGGTTACATGTAGGTTAGTGGAGTTAGGCTTACAGGTAGGTTGGTGGGAGGGTAGGATTATAGGTAGGTTGTTGGGAGGGTAGGATTATAGGTAGGTTGTTGGGAGGGTAGGATTATAGGTAGGTTGTTGGGAGGGTAGGATTATAGGTAGGTTGTTGGGAGGGTAGGATTATAGGTAGGTTTTTGGGAGGATGTTAGTGGTTGGAAGAATTACCCGTAGGTGGGTGAGAGGGTGCTAGACATGGCAAGGATTATAGGTACGATCTTGGGGAGGATTTAAAAATAGATTGTAGAGAGTGTCATGCATTGAGCGGTCAACATGTAGTATACATTTTATTTCCTACAGGCTTGGATCCCGCCGGCCCTTTCTTTGAAGGCACTGACCCCAAAGTGAGGCTTGACCCAACGGATGCCGTGTTTGTTGACGTCATCCACACCGACGCAGGGTCCATCCTTCTTTCTAGTAACCTTTTTTTGTTTTGATACTTTACAAACTCTTTTATTATTTAATTTTATTATTATTCCATTCAGAAATTATGACTCGTTTACTTCGTAACACATTCAGAAATTACAAATTCTTTATTTTGTAACAGATTCAGGAACAACATTTATTTTTTACTTTGTAACAATTCAGACATTACAATTTGTTAACCTTGTAACCGATTCAGAAGCCACATGTTTTTTTTTTACTTTTTAACCCATTACAGCTTGATATGATTGTAACCCATTCAGAAATTACCTTTTCTTTACTTTGTAACCCATTCAGAAATTACCTTTTTTTACTGTGTAACCATTCAGGAAATACAATTTGTTTACTGAGTAGCCATTCAGAAATTACCATTTGTTTACTGTGCAACCATTCAGAAATTATCATTTGTTTACTTTGTAACCCATTTACATTTACTGTGTGTTAAATCTGTCACCCCATGACGCTGTCCATACAGTTAATTTAAAACAATCCTAGTATACCTTGTTGTTTCCATAGACCTGGGCATCAGACAGGCTGTAGGACACCAGGACTTCTACCCAAACTCTGGCAGCAATCAGCCGGGTTGCTTCAAAACTCTGATCACCTCCATCGAACAGTGGGGGCTAATAGACGGTACGCTCCTTAACTTAGCTGTCTATATTAATTTATCAGGTGGGGAGCAACGTTCTCTAAAGTGCATTTTTATTACTCTATTATTTCTTCATTTTTATGTCTGAGTAACACTTACTATCTATTTCAACTCCTATTTGAAGATTATCACAGCGGGACGAATAGATTGCAATCTAATTTAAATCGAGGTAGTTATAAAATCTATGTTAAATAACACCATACTATTTAAACCTAGGTACGACGGATCGTTTTATCTGCAACCATATGAGAGCGGTTCGTTTGTTCATTGAGAGCATCAACTCACGCTGTCGCTTCGACGGTTACCCTTGTACCAGTGCACTCAAGTTTATTGTAAGCGTTTGAGAAATTTATAATTTCTCTCTCTCTCTCTCTCTCTTTCTCTCTCTCTCTCTCTCTCTCTCTCTCTCTCTCTCTCTATATATATATATATATATATATATATATATATATATATATATATATATATATATATATATATATATATATATATATATATATATATACCTGTGTGCAAGTAAATAAACTTTGTTAAATAAAATTCGATATTTATAAGTATGACTATGTTTCAATTAGTTAATTTTTATCTGCATAGTTTGATCAGTTTGCATCTGTCTGTATGCTTGTGCTTACATTCACTTCTACCCATGTTGACCGTGTATTTGCCAGACCGGCGCGTGTAAATCCTGTGGTACCTCCAGCTGTGCCACCATGGGGTTCTGGGCTAACAAAGACAACTCTCCTCAAGGTCAGTTCTACCTGAACACAGCAGGACAGCCGCCATTTTGTTTGGTCTCAAGCTAAACGTTCTGTGGACACCAACATAACAATAAAATAATTATCTCGAACGTAATGTGTGTTGGTAAATTATTTTTCATTTTTGATTGGTTGTGTTATAGAGCTGGAAGGACTCTAGCACTTTCCACTTGCTGAGATCAAAACCGGAACGATTTTGGGGTTGTAGTCGTGCACGCTACCCTACAACCACACAACCCGTTATGATTTCATGTGTCTCTAATTCATTCCACATTATTTATACATTATCTGTAAATGAAATGCGAAGAGGCGAGTCTGTGGGGCACTGTATACAAATACTCCATGATATTTGTAACTGATTTAGCAAATTATGGTATTGTAGTTTCATACATTTTCATTAAAACGAAACACGTCGAGGTTAAAAAAATAATAAAATTAGTCCCAGTAGTAATAAACATACATTAAAACCAAAATTTGTAGAAATCTTTTAATAATATATTTTTATGTAATCATGCAGTAAAAATTAGAAAATAAATCTAGAGATACACAATTCAAAACCCCAATTTGACCAGTAAACAGAGAAAACGACATAAATGATCATTTAGTAATATACGTCATGTCTGTGTTTCTTGCTAGTGTCCATAAATGGGACGTATACATAAGGCAATACGTTGCAAGTGTCCCACTTGTTGGCAACTTGTTTTATACTTGATGTAAATAAAAAGATGGAAATAAATATTATTCTAAAGTTTTTATTTGATATAAATATGGCACTGCTAAAAGTTTAAAATATAGCTCGTTTAAAATATTAATATTTAAGAAATTTAGCACTTATAGTGATCGTGTTTTCATTTTCAGCTATTTAAAAAGTCCAACGAAACAGGCGATTTCATTTTTTTTTCTAAATAAAAACTTCAATGTAACGCATACAAATATGTTAGTCTAACCATTTCGAAATACAATGTTGTGTTTTAAATATTAAATGTTCGTGATTTTTTTAAAGTGTCTCATAAGTGGAACTCTTGATAAATATGGGTTAAGCATGAGGAAGCAAGTTACACAAAAGCTTTAAATAAAACGTTCCATTGGCTGTTATCGATTTTATAATGCAACGGTAATATCTACCTGTGTTTATGGCCCAAGGTTTGACAGTTAGGCATTAGGTTTCAATATTATTGCATCAAATCATGCCTTAGAAAAATCGATTGAGCTCTAAGGCAAAGATTTGTATTTTACAAGTATTTGCATAGATAAAGGTAATTGACTAAAATATTAACTAATTTTTTTTTAGTTAATGTGGTAAGAAACTTAGTGTAGTTAATGGTAGAAGTAAAAACACTGCATTATATTTTAACACAAATATACATTTTAATAGTACTATGTTTTAGATTTAAGAATAAACGTAGTGTATTTAATGTTGGAAGCAAATGCGTCGCATTAAATTTGAATAAAGAATATACATTTTGATAGTACTATGTTTTAAGAGTACTAACCGCTAATTGGCTCCTGGCCAAGACACCCGCTTCGATTACACTTAGAGCCGGATTAACTGCATAATGAGGATATATGCAAAATGTTTTGACGTAAGTCAGGTGGTGACACAGTTAGCTCGCAAATGTTGTAATCAATAAGTCTAACCCATTTCTCCATACAAACACACACTCAACTTCCGTGTACCCTACAGCCCCTGGGGCCTATAGTATAGTGGATTGCCGAAGGTTTTAATAGGGTAACTTTCATATATTAATAGCATTATCGTAAAATTAACTCTGAAATAATATCCACATACGCATTTTAATTTATTGATAATGTAAACATATTTCCCCTTCACAATTTTAACTTCCTTCAACTTTTAAACTTTACTGCTAAACTTTCTGATTAAAGTAATCATTACAAATATAACAAATAATTACAAATTATTTCCAAGCCCAAAAAGGAAGTGACAATATCATACAATTTATGTTTACAGTGTAACTCCCGAAATAGTTTTTATAGTTAATCTTCTCATTATTTTCAAATATTTTTTACAGCCGACTGGGAATAGCTCCAATATGGCTGTTCGCAGTCAGCCAACATTTCACAAAAAATACGAATAGGAATAATATGTTTCAATAACAAGAGCATTTATTGTGACTGGGGAGTGAGGTATAAATTAAGAGAGCAGTGATATTTGTTATTTTGATATATATTGATAATAAAACCTATTATTGTTTAAACGTTAATGTTCATATCTGCTACGTAAATGATTAATTATACACATTAAAGCTAAAGTAATTAATACAAGCTGAACAGTATTTTTAAAATTAATAATTAGGTACCAATATGGTAGTGTACAATGCTATGCAACTATCAATTATCATGTTTTTTTTAAATCGATATAAACGAAAAAGGGTGTACATTTAATCGTTTATTATTCACATCTCAATGTTTCTGATATATTCTCAACTTTTAGCAAAATCTAGAAGCATGACTATTTTTCTTTCTGTAAATATACTCGCACTCAAGAAAACAATGCAAAGTAACCCATTCATAAATGACGTCAAAAAAAATTAAGTGGTGAATATTTTTAAAATGACTGTCAAATAAATTAGTCGTTGGACGGGTTCGAGCTAGCGACAACAGCCACTTGAAACATTGATTAATATCCAACGCGGCATTGTCACATTCAAATGTATTTTAAAAAGTTCCGACCGGGTATAGCCCAAATACAGCCTATTCCCATTTAATCGGGCTTTGACAGTGTGTTGACATATTAATAATTTGCTTCATGTCGTTTATTGCTCATTTATTCCTGGCTCACGCGACTTAATTAATATTTATTTGCATATAATAAGCCGTAGTATCCCATTTACCCTACAGAGACACGTCCTTCCGCTTCCATTCTCTTCATGTCTATCTCTATTGGGTGCCAGACATGCCCCAGGAAATAAGTTAACAGCACAGCCGTGGTTCCGCGATTTTCAATACCCTTGTGTGTATACACCTGCCAGGTACCATTTCATATTTTCAAACCAAATGGTAGACATGGTATTCTTACTGTTGTCCACGGGATTTGGTTAGCGTGGTCTGATAGAATATTTGGATTTAAATGAAAATGAACACGTTCGCTTTCTTCGGTACGCTGTGTTTTATATTCTACCTGAAAAGTCTACTACAAGGTAATTTGTTTCAAATTTATCATCAAATTATATTAAATGTTATTACTGTCAGGATGTGTTTGGTTAATGTTTGTGTAAACGTGAGCAGAATCAGGTTAGTGTACCTTGAATGTTATTTTACTTTTACTCTTAAATTGTTCATTTTCTTGTTAATACTTTTTTTTTTAATTTACTGAAGTTAAAGTCACAGTGTTACACCATTTTTGGGGAGGAGAGGGGGGGGGGGGGTAACACCATGGCAAAATATTGTAAAAGTGCACCACGTAAAAAATAAAACCTATACAGAGCAATAAAAAGTGTTGTGTTATTTAAGTAGATAATACGCCCATCAATCACGGAAGTAAGGTGACACCACAATTAATTATTTACTATTCACACAATGCATTCTTCCACTTAATTAATATGTGGATTAATATATTGTGTGGACAAATTAAGTAACTACGCTTGCTACTTTCTTGTCATTTCTAGCAGAAGAAAGAGGATTTTTAACACTTATTCTTTTTAAGCGTCATTGTTACAAGACATATTTGATTGCAATAATTTATAGCTGATCCAAATTTTGGAAATCATATTTTTCATTCACAGAAGTTGCAAGCCAGGAGATAGAACTTTCTCTTACGCCATCAGCAGATAAAATCAAATGTGACACAACAATCAGCCCCGGAAGTACCGTTTTCTTTAACGGCACTTTTAATGTTTCAGGTTTCAGTATGCAAGAAATAAACAACAGTACTCTTCGTTTGAGGCAAGTTAGTATACGTTTTTTTTATTTTAAGTATAATTTTTCAATATTTAACACTTCAACATAATAGAGATTACATAGGTTGGTCAATTCGTTGAAGAAAAAAAGGTAAAGGCTACTCAATTCTGTCAAACCAGTCGAACATATTTTTTTTAAAAATACAATTGTTTACACAGTCCCATGTTTTTATGACAGATCTGTCTAACCGCTAACATAACAATAAGCTAGCGATAAGCCTAAATTGATTTGCTTAAACGTTGGTGTTTTCATCATTTTGTCAGATCTAGACATACACGTGTCATTCGTATGTATATATATATATATATATATATATATATATATATATATATATATATATATATATATATATATATATATATGTGTGTGTGTGTGTGTGTGTGTATACAATATAAACTTTGTCAGGCGAGCCTAAACATTACATCAAACTAGATCTAGATTCAACCCGCAAAAATTAAATAGGCAGCGCGCTGGTGCTAACAAATACAAAAAAAAGCCTAATACAATAATATATAGGCTTATTGATCCGGTTCTCCGCACTGTAAAAAAACACTTCAAATTTGAAAGGGTAACGAGACCGTTTTAAATATGTGTTATTCGAGTTAAAAGTTCGGGTTGTTACCAAATTAGCACATTTTAAAACCGAACTTACGGAGCAATAAGTACGTATTGTGCTTTATTTTTCTCCAGAGTAAATATGTGATTTAATAATTACAACAAAAGTTGTAATGTACACACACACACACACACACACACACACACATATATATATATATATATATATATATATATATATATATATATATATATATATATACACATACATATACATATATATATATATATATATATATATATATATATATATATATATATATATATATATATACATATATATATAAATCTCCAAAGATTTATGCATGGGGTCTCGATTAATCAAAATCCGCCCCTCGATTGATGGTTGTGAGTTGATATAAAATAATTGTTTTCTTTTATTTATTGCAAACCAAATAGTAACGTACCTAGAAAGTGTTTTGTAAACACTGCGGCTTAAAACCTAAACGACGCTTGCTCTTATTCACAGCTAAGACTAAGTATATGTCAGCATCTGCTTCTTTTATGTCCAGGATTTTTTTTAATAGTTTCTTAAAAAAAACATTGATTGCTCAAAAATGATATTGCATATTATACTCTCTATCACTGCTTTAGAGATTTACTAGACTATTTTTAACCTCAGACATTGATTGCATAACTTAAATAAATTCTCTCACTTTACACAGAACTCAGGAGCCACAGTCTGTGAGGTGATGATTCTAAACAATACATGCATCAGCAACAACGGTACCTGTATCACATGTGCTAAAAAATATGATGATTTGTACACATTTATCTTTTCGGTGACGGCGGATTCGTTTGATTTTTTCGAGAAATTCTGCGTCAATTGGACGAATAATAGAAAAACAAGAGAGACATGCAAAACATACGTTATATATGGTAAGTTCCAAAAACGTATTCGACATTGCTATCTTCAGGTATTAGCATTTCGGTTGGTAATAGAAAAATTATTTTTTTCTCCGCAAAATATCTAAACTAAATTATCTTGTTTTTAATCATGGTTTTATAATAACAGTTTAATGCCACGTCAAAGAATATTTATCAATTACTTGTTTATGAATTTCAAGTAGAAAGCCATGTTTTATGCACAAAAATATTGTTATGCGAAACTAATATTAACTATTTTACTACACAAACACGCACTCATGCACGCACGCACACACCCAGACAAAATTGATAACTATGTTTTTCGACTCATGAAAACTTAAACTGTCGAGATTCTTAAAATCTGAATTCCGATTTTTTTATACAATTGCAATACATGCCATGCAAAAAAAAAAATTCTCTTTAAATAATTAATAATACTCCACCTTTGTAAATTGTATAGAAAATTGAGAATCGCTTTTAAAATTTTAGTACGTGTATTTAAAACAGAATATAGTAACGTAAGCGTTTAGCTAAACTTATAAAATGGTGCACAAGTAGGCCTATGTATTGAAAGTAAATATCCTTATGTAATCCAAGCTAAACATTATAGATTGCATAAAGTAAAGTATTAATTTGCACTATGATTTATTCTGCGTATTACTTAATTTTTCAGGAGACAAATCCATTTTCTATGATTGGTCGATGTATGCAACGATTTACTATAGTAATGTTACTATAGATCAACAGTTATCGTTCATTAACAATAAACTGGGATTGTATTCCCTATACAAAGATGCGATACATTTGATTAAGGTATCACTCTCCACTGAATCTGGCAACCTTCTGGTTAACTATAGTGGAACACCGCAACTATACGATGCACCACTGTTTTCATACCTCAACTATTCAGAGATAAACAGGCCTATATATTTATATGTAGAAGGCGAGCAATGTATGCAGTCCGCATACAAATGCGACATAGGTAATGTAATGTATGCGTTAATTTTGTATTATATTGTCTACAATAACTGTTGCCATAAAGTTTACATATATATAAATTATGATTTGCAATAATATGAAATGAGTAAACCAATAGCGTCATTTTATCTTGAAAAACATTAGTGGCAGTGGCGTAGCTAGGGGAGGCCGGGTGGGGCGGCCATCCCAGGCGCCAACCCTAAGGGGTGCCATAATGAGTAGAAAAATTAACTTAAACGCTCATTTATATGAATTATATTCCGTCAAAGTTAAGAATAGGCTTTACACACTGATTTAAATGTTTTCTGTATCCATTTTGTGGCACCGAAAATGAAAATGTTACGGGATACGGGTCATCCATAAATGACGTCACGCTTTTTTGACGATTTTTACCTCCCCCCTCCCCTCCGTCAGAAAAAGCCAGACCCACCCCTAAAATGACGTCACACCTCAGCCTACAACCCCTCTCAAAATTGCCTTTGAATTTTTCTTTAAACATCTATATTTTTCCAAAATCTTGTTTGAACTCTGTAAACATTGAGAATGAAAAATATATACATTTAACAGTGTCCGCCCCCACCCCCGAAGAAAGTCTACCGCCCCCCCCCAGAAAATTTCAAGTGCCCCCCTCCCCCCCGGAGAAAAAAGTCTGGAAGAAACACTGATGCACAAGTGTGACGTCGCACCATCTGAACCCACCTCCTCCCCCTCATCACACACCGTCACAAAATTACGTACCCCCTCCCCCATACGAGTTTGACGTCATTTATGGACGACCCCCTAGTAACAAGTAAGTAGCGCCACAAACCTTTCCAAAATACATGGGGGGGGGGGGGGCAAGGCGCTTTTAAACATGAATAACTATAAATAGAAACGGGAGAGAGGGGAGAACATTGACAGTTCGCTCCGGGCGCAGGAATAGGTGGCTACGCCTCTGATTAGTGGTTTTCAAACCAAGTTGCCTTTTCACCAATAGCTTCTTGTCGCTCTTTAAAAATAAATTAAAAAATCTACGAGTAGCTAATTAAAGGTTCAATGCTGTTTCTGTTTTTATAGCTAACAAGTATCGATCGTGTTTGCTGCCTATGTTTACTGTTGAAGGAGATCATTCTTGGATAAGCTTCATTTGTCAGAATAATGTACCACTTGAGCCTTACAATAATGAGAACATTACATTTGAAGTAAGAAATATATTCACACGTTGCTAAAGCAATTTTATGACCATAATTTTAACAGCCAAAAAAGCAGTCATATTTGTTGATATTAAATTAAACGCAATGGCATATGAAATATGACTTTAAAATAAAATTTATATGAAGGATTACAAAGAAGAACAAGTGATGATCAACGGCGCGTTGTTTTATAACTTAACATGGACAGTGAACGGCCTAACAGAAGAGTATAAAGCATCTCAACAACTACCACTTTTTAAAATAGAAGTTGAACTACCAATTCAGGAATCAGACTGTACTGATATATCGTCCTTCTGGGTTCAAAGTATACCTAATTTTATTTCATTATTAAAAAAAAGTAGATCAAACAATGTAAAGAAATTAAAGAAAAATAAAAAAAGCTAAATTGTTTGCAATCAGATTTTTTTTTTACTTTTTATCTGAGTTACCTTTCAAAACCGGTGACCAATATAGTAGAGGAAGTAAAGTTCAACTATCTCTGTGATCTCAGTTTTTTTAGGATAGGATCGTGTGGTCAGTGTTAAGTCAGAGTTGATTGGCCTCAAGCGCGTCACACAGACCAGTGTCCTGTGTATAAACTTGAGATTTTTAAATTGACATTGTTGAACATGGAACATTGTCATCAACAATTTTACTGTCACCAGACCCCCCAAACGTGACTCTGTCAGCCGACTGCCCAAGAGGTCCAGGAGTTAAAAACGGCTACATCAGACGTGGGACAACAGCTGAGTGTGGCTGTGAGGTGTACAACAATGGGCCCATAACTGCCACAGTGAAATGGTTTACCTCAGACGGTCAACCTGTTATGTTGAGAAATGAATCGGTCCTTGAGGTCACGTACAACCCAGACGGTAACATTTCTTTGAAAGTTTGTTCTTTCTTTAGCATATGTTATTTGCACATTATGTTGATTAAGTTATTCTTATTAATAATTTAATTAAGTGGGCGTTACAGTTTTGACGCCAATGGTAACAGTTTAGAGAAATGTTATTTTCTATGCAGAAAACAACCAGTCATATGAATGTCGCGCTACGTCAATGGTGGGTGTTCAAACAAGATTACAATTTGTGCCAAAGTTTTATTGTAAGTAGACCAATTGATCATGCTTAATTATTGTTTCTTTAACGCTGTTTTAAATGTGTGTAAAATGGGGTTGGAGAAATTTAGTGCACTAGCCTAAAATAAAGGGAATTTCTAAATTTTGGGTTTAATAAAAAAATATATGTTTACTGGAATTAAAGTTTTTATTTTTATTTCAATTACAAGACGCATTTATACAATATTTTCTAGATCCACCGAATGTGCTCGACTTTACTGTGAATAAAAGTAACTCAACCATAGTAAGTGTCGGTGCCAGTGTTGTAATTTTCTGTAAAGTAGAAGGAGAACCACCTGCTAAAGCCTTGATCAATGGCAGCGGTCTTGGACAGGTGAAAGAAATCCAATCTAACACGTCAGTCTTGGAGCTGGTTCTAGAAGATCTACAATGTGAAGACTCAGGACGATATTTTTGTATGGGAGTCAATGGTTTTGAGGATAGCTGGACGATGGAACAAAACTTTGTTGATGTTAATGTTCTATGTAAGTGACCTGATTCGATGTGCACGAATCGACATTGTTTTACACTAAACTATTTCTAACATTTTTGAGATTATATTTTGATTTACAATTGATCTAAACAATGCCCACGTTTCTTGCAATTGTATAATATTGTCATTATCAAGAAGAGATTTAATACTTTTTATTTTAATATATTTGCCTCATAGGCAACTTTTAAGGGGGAAATTAAAACCTTGTACGGACTTGTATTTTATCTTTTCATGAATTATCTTTCCTATTGAAACTAATAATATTTTACACTAAGAAAATTAAGAAAGAAGTAGTGTGTAGCTAGGACTGTTTCAAATTTAATGGATTTAGCCAATGAATATCTTTTTTAAGCTAATTGACAACAAATTATGCAATGAAACGTTTTGTATTGCAAATTGTTACACACACAATATGTGGTGTTTAAAATTTCAAACCTGATTGACAAAGAAGGCTCACAATCAACGTTTGACTTAATGGCTTTAAACAACTCACAAACATAATAAACATCCATGGTCTGAAGCTATGCGATGACATTAATTAAATTAAACGTGTATTAAATTATTTTTTTTAACTGCAGCACCATTTAATCACCATGTGTTATTTTCGTATAGGTCCACCTAACGTAAAAAATAATTCATCGGAAATTCCCGTTGTCCACGTGTCACGTGACAAAAACACGGTGTTTACACTTGAGATTTACGGATATCCTGAGCCGACCAATTTTGGTCTAAAAATAGAATCAGGGAACTCATCATCAGACGTGAACAGCAGCAGCTATAATATATCCTACATCACCACGGTACCACCATTTGGTCTAGTCACTGTAAACTTCAAGGATTCCAGTTCTATAGCCAACACCACCTACATAATAACCGTAGCCAACTCAGAAGGAAAGTTTGAAATCCGTTTTATCGCCATAGATCAGGATCAAATCAGTGTACAAACAGGTGAATATTTTTTCATACAATACATAGACTTTAATGGCAATTCAGCTGATGTTTTGGGGGTCGGCGTGGTCGGGTCGGCAAAGCTCGTAGTTGCTAAACCGAAAAGTCTCGGCAACATACGGCCTGCATGACCAGTAAAAAGCATCTCATCAACTACCACATTTTAATATGGACATTGAACCACCAATTCAGGAACCTTACATTACAGATATAATATTATCTTTTTTTTTTGCTCAAAGACTGAATGATTTTATTTTATTATTTTAAAAGTAGATCAAATATCGTAAATAAATTTAAGAAAAACGACAGTTTTTTTTTAAAATTAGAATTTTTTTAAAATCTGATTTACCCTTTCAAACCCGGTGGCCAATATGGTAGGTGAAGTAGAGTTCAACTGTCGCTGTGATCTTGGTTTGTGATGGGTTAGAGAGGTCAGTTTTATGCTCAACTTTCCTAACATTCCCAAATTGAGACACAGATGAATGGCTTCTGGAATGTCATACGAAAATAATTCCTGTGACTGAACTCGTGATTATTGAATTGGCATTCTTAAACAGAAAAATTGTTATAAAAACTTTTTCTGTCACCAGATCCCCCAAACGTGACTCTGTCAGCTGACTGTCCAAGAGGTCCAGGAGTTAAAAACGGCTACATCAGACGTGGGACAACAGCTGAGTGTGGCTGTGAGGTGTACAACAATGGGCCCATCTGTGCCACAGTGAAATGGTTTACCTCAGAAGGTCAACCCGTTCTGTTGAGAAATGAATCGGTCATTGAAGTCTCATACAACCAAGACGGTAACATTTCTTTGAAAGTTTGTTCTTACTTTCTATAGCATGTTATTTGCACATTATTTTGATACAGTTTTTGTTAGTATTAAAAAAACAGGAAAAATTACAATTTTGACGCTAATTTTCACAGTATAGAGATATCATATTTTCTATGCAGAAAAAAAACAGTCATATGAATGTCGCGCTACATCAGTGATGGGTGTTGAAACTAGATTACAATTTGTGCCAAAGTTTTATTGTGAGTAGACTAGTTATTCCTGCTTTATTATTGTTTCTTTAACGTTGTATTAAATTATTTTGTTTTGGTGTAAAATGGGGTTGGGAAAATATAGCGCGTTAGCCTAAAATGATTGGAATTTTGAAATGTTGGTTTAATTACAATAGATTTTTTCACTGGAATATTAGTATCTATTTTTATTTCAAGTACAAGACGCATTTATATATATTTTGCATTTCTAGATCCCCCGAATGTGTTCGACTTTACTGTAAATAAAAGTAACTCCACCATAGTAAGTGTCGGTGCCAATGTTGTGTTTTACTGTGAAGTAGAAGGAGACCCACCTGCTAAAGCCTTGATCAATGGCAGCGGTCTTGGACAGGTGAAAGAAATCCAATCTAACACGTCAGTCTTGGAGCTGGTTCTAGAAGATCTACAATGTGATGACTCGGGACGATATTTTTGTATGGGAGTCAATGGTTTTGAGGATAATGGGACGATGGATCACAACTTTGTCGATGCTAATGTTCTATGTAAGTTTCTAGATTGCATGCTCACGCAGTGACATTTTTTTACACAAATTGTTTCTAAAATTTATGATAGTGTGTTTTGATTTACAATTGATCTAAGCAATGTCTATGTTTCTTGTAAAAGTATAATATTGTCATTACTAACAAGAGATTTGATAGTTTTTACTTTAATCTATGTTACCATATAATTAGCTGTTGAGGAGATAAACGATGTACCGGCTTGTATTTTTTCCTTTCATGAATTATTTTTCTTATTGAAAATTATTATATATTTCACTAAATATATCTTGGAAGGAGAAGTGTAGAGCCATGATTGCTTCAGTACTACGAATGAAACCAATGAATATCTTTCTGGAACTAATTGACTGCAAATTATGCGATGAAATATTGTGTACTGGAATTGTGTACACACTCTCAAAATGAACGTGTGACTTTTAAAATACATAACTATTAAAGCATGGTCTGAAGCTACGTCAGGGGATTAATTAAACCTAACGTTTATTTAAAATCAATTTATTTTTTTGTAAATATTTGCACCATTTAATTACCATGTGTTATTTTCGTACAGGTCCACCTAAAGTAAAAAACAATTCATCGGAAATTCCTGTTGTCCACGTGTCACGTGACAAAAACACGGTGTTTACACTTGAGATCTACGGATATCCCGAACCAACAAAATTTGGACTAAAAATAGAATCAGGCACGTTTTCATCAGACGTGAACAGCAACAGTTATCACATATCCTACATCACGACGGTGCCGCCATTTGGTCTAGTCACTGTAAGCCTGACGGATTCCAGTTCTAAAGCCATCACCACATATATACTAACCGTAGCCAACACAGAAGGAAAGCTTGAGCTACGTTTTATCGCCATAGATCAGGATCAAATCAGTGTACAAACAGGTGAATATTGTTTCATATGTTACATAGACTTTAATGGCAATTCAGCTGATGTTTTGGGGGTCGGCGTGGTCGGGTCGGCAAAACTCATGGTTGCTAATCTGAAAAGTCTCGAGACAACTCCAAAAATCAAACAGCTGTTGCCTTGCAGTTGGTTCTTGGTTGGACAAGGCTATAAAAGCAAATCCAGAAAGAAAAGCAGGCTGAAAACGGAGCCAAAGGCTTATAACAAGTTCTCACGTTATACTTAGAACGAAGACGAAGAAAGAAACTGATGTTTTTCTTGTATATTTCAACAGATGACTCAGCATTCTGGATGAAGGTGGGATTAGGAGTCGGATTATCTGTACTTGTTTTAGCCGTCGTCATAGCGGTATCTATAATCTGTTTTAGGCGACATAATCTAAATGGACAGGGAGGTAGCGAGGGAAATCTGCCCCATCCTGATGGTATGTTTGTCTAAGCAATCACCACTTTCACAACTCCTAATAGAAAAATGTTGCTTGAGTATTTTAAGATAGTTATTTAGATAATTAAAAATAAAAACAAGAACCTACAATTTAGATTTAATTAAAGTGGTAGTATCAGATTAGCTTTAAATTAAAAAAAAAAATTAAAAGTTAATGGCGTATAGTTCTTATCACTTTTTTGTTCAGCAAGGAACTTTTTATTGGGTCGACGTGGTCGAATGGTAGAGCTCACGACTTTTAACCCGAATGTCTCGAGTTCGGATCCCTGGCTCGTGTCTGTAGGACGCCCTTGAGTTCACTCAGCTTCTTTGGGTGCCTGACTCTCATTAGTGAAAGCAATGTGGTTAGGCGTAGTGCTGACCACAGTATCCCCTCTATGCCGATCATTAAATAGATTTCACCCATTTGTCTTGCTCACGAAGGGGGAAAAAATATTTTATAAACTTTATAAAACACAACTTTAAAAAAGAAATTTCTATTGTTTACTGCAATGAATAAATTCGATCTCTGCAGATTATGTCTCAGATGAGTCTTCTACCGATCAAAGTTCCACAACTCCCATAGACAACTGGCTTTTTACAAACATCAGTTATCTGCCTTCACCTGACAAAGAACTTAACTTTAACCATTCATACAAAGATTTCATTGAACCACCTCCAGATTATTTTGATGATTGAATTTTTAATATTTTACACTGTAGTAAGACAATGTAATTATGTTTATTAATTAAAGTATTTGTAAAACTGGCTTTTACTCTATTTAGGGTATTATTTTTTAGGTGTTTATATTTTATTTATTTTATTATATAAAGGCATAATATATTGATTTGTACCTAGCCCTTAATATTATGATACATTTTCTATGAATATAACTCGGTGCGAATGAATGTTGGTGCGGGTGTATAATGAAAGAATAAAAATGTGAAGCGCTTAATAAGATAGTGACATGGAATGTGGTAACGGTGTTGCTATGGCATGGAAGGCTAGAGAGTTCGGACTAAGTAGTGAATGTGAAAGGTACTTTACATGATGTCGATAGCAAGGATTGTTGGGTGCGGATTTAAATGAGGACAGTAGTGAAATAAATATCAAGGAAGAAAATAATAGATTTGTGCCATTAAATTCAAACAGAAGTTTAATAATTGTCAGAAGGAAAATTAAATTCCACACTGTTTACGCTGAAATGTCTGTTAACGCGGGTCATGACCTGTAAACTATTTTCTAGTGGATTATGTATGTACCTAATATGAAGGGGCGTGATTTCTACAAGAGATGGTGAAGATAAAGAAAAAGTATAAATTATCAGTGTTTCCTTTTTGGGAGGGGCACTGTATGCCATGACGGCTATGTCGAGTATATTATTTAAGCAGAGATAAGTTTTACTCATTATTATATAAATACAAGTCATTAGTAATAATCTCCCTGTCTATGATTTAAAAAAACTGAACTGGATTTTAAATTATTACTATTTTAACACGGATAAGATTCTTATTAGTCGTGGAATTTAAAAAAAAATGTATATACCATGTCTATGTTAAACAGATAGATTAGCAGCAGTTGTAAAAAAATAAGGTTAGGTGTGAAACATACATACATACATATATATATATATATATATATATATATATATATATATATATATATATATATATATATATATATATATATATATATGTATATATATGAGGGTGTGAATGTATGTGTGCAAAACATGAACAAAATCAGTACAAAACCAGTATAGAACCAGTTAAAAACCCTTCCTAAAAGCGTGACGTTATTGATGGATGACACCAAATATTCTGCACTTGTGTTTAATTAATTTGTTTAAACACTTGCGCTTTTAAAAACCATTTGTTTTACATTGAATAGAATAATTTTGCTGGTTACGTCCCTTATCATTTAGTGAAAATGGGTAAGGGGTTGAACCTAGTATTAAGATAACAAAATCCTTAAACAAAAATTAATATATAAAATAAATGTAATAAAATAAAAAAAGAATTATTGTTGTTGCAGTTTGTATATATTAATAATAATACTTTTACTTCAATTATGATAATTTTTCTATTTGTCAAAATTATATTTATTTTTGTACTTTATTTAAAGTAGAAAACTACCAGCAATGTTAAAACCTTCAGGAATTTAGTGTGTAGCTCACATTTAGAACGTACTAGCCTCGTTCTTTTCACGCGAAAAAAATCACTTTCATTTACAAATGACCAAGATTATATTGATAAAAGATGCTCTGTTTTTACACTTCATTGATAAAGCCATGCAGAGGGAAGGTATTATGTAATGGAGGAAGAAGAATTAGACAAGGCATGTTACTGGAGAGGATTAAACTCCAATGGTTTAAGCAAACAAGAGAAAGTTCAATATTTAAACAAATAGATTGACATTAGTGGACATATACATGAGAAAAGCATATCACTCCTGCTGCACCTTCCTGTCTTGTTGAGCTACTGCCACCCCAAGAATCAGACACTGATGGCCACTAAGACAATCAACAGAGGAAACATTGACAGCTACTGAAGAGGTCGATGTCTGGGAGGAAGTAGATCTGTTGATGTGTTTGAGATGAGGATGGTGTTTTGTATTGTAGTTCATATTTTGATTTCTTCATAGTAGCAGTAATATTTCACCTCTGTTGCTAATTATTTTTTGACTATGCTTTTTACACTAAAAAACAGGTGCTGTTTAGTATATTTTTTCTTTTGTGATTCGGATATGTTTAATATGATAAAAATCAACATAAAAACTTAAGATTATATGTGGTACATAACTCTTTGTTTTTGTCTCTTCCGATTTAATTTACATGACACATACCCAGGCTTCAAGTTTTGATTATTTTATGTTTGGCTTGTGAATTCCCCAGAATTTTTTTATTTTCTCATTCAGTCTCACTGTTTAGCAATACAGTGTTTCTCAATCTTTTTGCTGTGTTCCCATTGCTAATAATACTACAGTTATGTATGATGATTGCTGAATCATAAATAGATAGGTGCTAGCAACATCCTACTGCCAGGGAGTCTGTCAACTGCCTTGATGTTGTATCTAGTTCTATTGTCCATTACAGTGTGTTTAAAGTACATACATTGTTTAAAAAATACTTAAAAAAAACTTTTTAAAAAACCACGTTTTTCTTGTGGACTAAAAAGTAGAAAATAAATTTTTCTTTTGTGCTTCCTCGAGCTGTGCAGATTCTTGTGATGACTGACAAAAAACGTGGGTACGTTCACCATCAAATTTCCCGACCCATCTGCCCGACCCACGTTTTTTGTCAGTCATCACAAGAATCTGCACAGCTCGAGTAAGCACAAAAGAAAAATTTATTTTCTACTTTTTAGTCCACAAGAAAAACGTGGTTTTTTAAAAAGTTTTTTTTAAGTATTTTATTTTCTCCTTTTTAGTCCGTTGCTACACATGAAAAACGTGGGTTTTAAAAAAGTTTTTATATAGTTTATTTTCTACTTTATCTAATGACTTGATTAAGTATGACTTTACTAAGTGTTTATAAATACACGGACTAAAAATCTTGAGCGACAAGGATTCGAACCTGGGTTGTCGCGGCCACAACGCGAAGTACTAACCACTATACGATCACGGCCAGCGCGCTCACATCGATTGGGGCCAAAGTAACTGTGTCAATAGGCCTCCAGTCTTGTAGGTATCTTTAGAAATCATGTCCTCAATTTTATGGTCCTTGGGGCGTAATTAAATTAAGCTAATTACGGTCTCTAATTGCTAGTTTTTATGATTGCATCTGAAATTGTTAGGCGAAAGTAGCCTGTATGCCAAATTTCAGATCTGTAGAGCAATCAGAAGTGGGCTAATTTTCGATGTCAATTTTAACAACAAACAAACAAATCCACAAACGCGAAGCTGAGTTAAGAAAAACGTGTTAAAATAAAAATGTCTTAACACTGAAGTCATAATAAAGGGAAACTACTGTTCATGACAATATCTGCAATTTCTTCTTCTTACATAACCTTACTTATGCTTTAGATTAAATACCATATAATTCATTTACTTACTTCATGTTTAGTCTTTTCTATTCTTTTTATATTTCTACTTATTTTATTCATAAAAATACAAGCAAATTATGTATTCATTTTGTGTAATGTGTTATTCGAGCTATTTATATTTTAATTGACTTATATGAACATACTTACCTCAAGATTTTATCAGTTTTCGGATTTCGAAGGATGGTTTATTAATGATAGAGGATGCTCTACTGTGTGTTGCATGCAATGATAACAGAGGTTTCAATGTTTGTTCTATAACAATTTTAAACATGGTAATCTCAGACACTTTCTACTTGTTCACATTTATCACCAGTTTCACAGCTGCTTTTGTCATAGCTGCCTCCATTCATTTACTTCTACAAACCACAATTTTTTTTAAATTATTTTTTTTCTTTTGACTATTATATAGTCGTGTATTAGAATAAATAAATAAAATATTAATTGAATGTGGAGTATTAGTTTACCAGTATTGTTTTATTATAATTTATAGTAAACATTTACACTGTTTCTTTCAGACATTTTGTTTTGGGTGGGGGATAGCAGACACTGGTTGAAGTAAGTATTTTATAAATTCTATTTCTTTAATGGCAGTAGACAAGCTTTGTTTATGCCTGAAAGAAACTCTGACCATTTATCTGTACATTTTATTTTCTAGGCTGTCAATTTCTTTTATTTCATTGTATGTTTTATGTCATTTGATTTCAACAAAGAATTTCCGTGATCAATCAGTTATACCTTGTATACCTAATAAAAGATGTATTTTTATCCTATTCCCTCCCACATAATTAAATGCTGCCTAAGCCACTGCAACTCAACATGATTATTGTACACTATAGTGTTTGTAATTTTACAACAAAGTTGATAATGATCATTTGCGTTTTGTAGGATCTCGTACATCTTCAGGGGGAAATATGTGTAAATATTGACAACTTGTGTATAATAAATATGCTGCTTCTTACTAAAAAAAAAACCAAGATTATATTAAAGACTTAATAGTTCCCAATGTATGAGTTGTGAACTATATTACAGATGTTATTGATCCACCATTGGCGAGAGTGAGTTGACTGTGATGGCAATGTACATTATGATGAAAAAAAGCGGAAAGTCAAAAAACATTGACGTATTAAGAAACCAAAATAGCATTAAAAACACATTTTAAACTAATGATGCAGTTTTTGATCTGTTGCAATATTCAGAAGGCGGATATTCGGTTAAGAACTGTTCATTTCTTTACCCTAGTTTACACTAGCCTAGCGGGTTTCCGAACCCTTGACTTAAGTGTTTACAAGTACAAGGTCTACCGCTAGACCACGTCGTGTACACATTTTGAGCAGTAGTGAGCGTCAAATATTTTCAAGACATCAACTAAGAACCTTCGTGCAGTGGTGTACAGCGACCTTTTGGCTAGATATCATGTCACTAACTAAATTTGGTCTACTTTTAATTGAAGGTCAGTATACAGAATAGTATGTAAGCTATATTCAACTATCATTTTGAATTGATTCACGTGTTTAGACCATTTTTAGAGGTAGTTCATCACCAATGAGTATAAAAGACCAATAATTTGCTACACAATAATGCTTTAATTAAACACATGATACTGAAGTATTTCAAAGACAATCACATTATAAGTTAAGGAAAACACAAAGTAGATATAATATCAAAATTGTATTTTAATAAGTATATAACATATGTAACTTTACATATCATGTTAGGGAGAAATGCATAGCAAAACTAACCCACAGGAACTGTGTGGTCGAATGGTAGCGCGCTCGACTGCAAACCTGAAAGTCCGTTGGGCATCCCTAAGTTTACCCAGTTCTAATAGGTATCTGACTTACGTAAGGGAAAGTAAAATGGCTGGGCATAGTACTGACCACATTATCCCTTCTTGTCAATGAAGGTCAATGAAACAGATCAACTCTGCTTCACCTTCCACAAGGACTGTAAGGTTTTTATGGGCACGTTTTAAAAAAAAATACTTTACACATACACCTACTTGTTTTATTTTCACGAAGATGTGACTAAAATACTTATATCACTAGGCTTTTCAATTATTACATTTGTTTACATGGTGGACCCACAATTGTTTGCCCTTGATTGTTCTGTTTCTATATCTCAAATTTCCACAATCTGTGTTTTTGTTGTTATCAAGTGGAGTATCGCACGAGATTGTTCGATAGTTGGCACAGTTTTTTAAGTAGACGTTACGATTTCTAGTCCACAAAATACGATAGTTGACTATAATGATAATTTATTCAGGCGTTGCTTGTTATCTTTCTAAATATATTTTGACGATACCCTGAACTGTGGGGTTTCGTTCTTAAATTAGAATGTAATAAATTTTATAATCTTGGTTCACAAAATCTAATCCAGATTTTACACAAGTTCTTTTATTTTTCTTTTATTAAGGTGGATTAATAAACAAGAAACAAGTCATAAAGTCTATCCAGTTTTGAGCACAAGATTGAGACAAGTTTAGATGACAAGCTCACATCTCTGAAGATGTTAAGTCTACCTTATCAGAATGGCATGCAACTCGGCCAGTATGTGAATACAAGTTGCCTCA